GACTCGACCTGACCTGTTCGGAGCACTAGGGCTAACATCATTAAAATTTTGGCAATATTACTAAAGAGTAATAAAATGTTATAATTTTAATAAAAGCTTGTATGATATTAAACTTCTTTAACATTAATTTACTTTAATTTCAATATTTAATATACTTAAAGATTAATTAAATAATTTTCTGGATAATTTTCAACATAATGTTTTAAAAATAATCTGTTTTATTTCTATCATATGTAATCAATTTCCTTGGATTCTTTTTGCTTGAATGTCCAATTATAATTACTCTTGTATTTTTATGCTGTAACTACCGACCACGTTTAGATAGAATATTTTCATTGCCTAAGGCTGAACCTTCTGGAAAGTTAGAGTTTACTACTCTAGTTCTATGTTTATTTATGTAAAACATGCGACAATTGCAAGATAGGACCATCCATTCTTTTCTTACTTCTAAGAGTTCTTTCCATTGAGTATAAGTCATTATTATCCTTTACTAGATACTATTATTTGGCTGGTGTTGACTGTTGTAGAGTTATTTGAATTGTATAAGTAAACAGACGCGTTCATGTTGGAAAATCTTCTTTTAAACACGTCTCAAAATTTAAAGACTGCAAAAACTGCAAAACTTCAAAGTAATGGTTGTCATTTCACCAATTATATTCTCATATATAAGCGATATGCCAAGCGCCGTTACCACTATACCAATTCAACTGTGATATTAATTTTACATAAATTTCAAATGATTAAATTAAATTTTATGAAACATGTGACTTTATTGACACAGTCATATGAGGTGTGGCTGAGGAAAAACTTATTTTATTTTTGCCATATTTTCAGACTTTTCTGTATGTTATTTGGACACATTCTTATTTTTTATATAAAATTAATATATATTAACAATAATAAAACTTTTAAATTACAGCATATGAACTATTACGCAATACAAAAACAATTAATAAACTGATAGTTTAACAAAGATGCATGGAACAGCTATTCAAGTACGTGAGTGCTTGAATTCTCAAATCCTTATTGGGAAATCTTAATGCGACTAATCACATAATTTATGTCACTGTTATGGGTGCTTTGCGCATTTTTGTGGAGGAGGTAAAAAAAAAAGTTAATTTTAAAAATAATTATGCATATTCCTTAATTGTGGTATAATACATAATATTTATATGTTGTAGACACAATTGACTGTGAATTTGGGAAAGTTTCTGATAAAGCAACTTCTAAAGACTTAAAGACAAGCATGCATTATTTAAATGTCGATCCGTCCAAATAAAATGGAAAAAAAATCTATAATTATTATTCGAGATTTGCAGGTTTAAGGAGATTTTTTAACGGGTCACATGGGACTATAAATTTTTATTGAAAATTGTGAATTTAAACAGGAAATTAAAATACTTACACAGAAGTTATCAATGCAAATCAATATCTACTAAAGTATGATAAGATTTGCTTAATATAATAATTCGATGTTTAAACAAGAATAGTATATAATTTAGAAAACTAGATTTATTATATCTAAATGCTATTTGTTTACATAAATCTCATTTTCTAAAATTTGAAATACTTCGTAATCATCCATGGTGAAATTTTCTGTATTTCTTATCCTTTTTTCATATCTAAGTTGCTTGCAATAAATCTTATTATAATCATTTTCATAGTTAGAAGTATTATTCATAAACAGATCAGAACTAAATGTAGGACCGAACATTTCGTGATACGCTAAAGCTTTCTCCATATGTTTAATTTCCACATGGCTTAAAATTGAATCCTCAAAATTATCCCTACTCTTAAAAGAAAATATGAAACTATCCTTCGTTTGACCACAGTCACCATTCATACCATAAGCATTCTTCCATATTAAAGGATTATATCCTCCTAAAATTTCTTCAGTTCCATTTACTTTGATAAATATAACAGTATAAGGTATATTATCACATAATTCATGAAATATTTTAGGAGAAAATCCATCTCGGCTTCCTCTTAATAATAATTTAAATTTATATGGTAAATACAATTCTCTCAAATAAGCAAAATTTCTTTTAATTTCCACCTTGTCAATCCATCTAGAAATTATGGAAACAATATTTAAATTAACAATTTTTGTATCAATGATTCCATCTACATTTTTAGTTCTAGGGAGTAAAATACCATTACTTGGTTTACTATTAGGATCTAAATGTGAATTTAATAAATCTTCATAAAGTTGATTTTTCAAAAGCCTTTTATATGGATGAACATTTTTGATGAATTCTTCAGAAGATAAACTGAAAAATCTAACAAAAGGCAAACTGTTTTGCAAGGTATTTTGCATCATTTTGAAATCATCATCTGACCATGTTAATGGATCCGGAATAAGCGTGGGATGTTTTTCAAGTCCCCATTTTAATACATGCTTCCAAACCTCAACCTCTTTCATTTGTAAATCATCCCTTTTAATGAATGAAATTAAAGATTTTTCAGGAAGCGAAGTAAAGTCAAGTGAATTAAACACCTTTTCCGGTGATTTAACAATAATATCTGTACATAATTTTTGAAGCTCTAAAAAAGATTTAGATTGAAAGCTTGTTCTATAAACAAGCTCAAAATGTTTTTTCAACAATTCATCTTTATTTCCAATAAGACTTTTTTGTAAATATATAACTAATTCTTGAAGATGAAGCTCATCAGCAGCACGCATTATTTTTAAAGTGTTTGAAATGTCTTGTTCGTCTAATGATATAATCCCACCATAAATATACCTTTATTAAAGGAAAGGATAATTTTAATTTTTCAATATTAAAAAGAACGCAACATACTTGATTATTCAACTTACTTCAATATCAGTTGAAACTCTTCTGGTGAAATATTTGGTAATTTAATGCTCGTTAGGATCCCTTCATTATTCTTTTTATTTGCCAAACTACGTCGGAAATATGGAGAACGGTAGCACAAAATAATCATGTGCGCGCGAAATATTTTAACATTTGGATCTTTTCCAACTTCAATTGTGATATCATAATATTCGTCATCATCCAATATTTCGATATAATTTTGACTTAATTTGGAAAAAAATTGTGTAGACATTTTAAATTCCTCAAAAATATTTTTTAATTTTAAATAAAAATTAGGAAAGAAATAGTTTTTTAATATGATGATCGATTATGTGTTCTTATACAAGCGTTTTTGCTGATTTTTCTAAACTAGACTAGACTAGTTTCGCAACAATTGTAACCCAAGTCCGAAATGATCAACATATTGATTGTTCTGCAAATTGATCAGCACACCGGACCGGTAATATTTCGCTTTAGAATATATTGTAAAATTGTGTCAAATTTGGACACCTAAAACTTTCGTATTACGTAATATCTTTTCTTATATGATACTTTAAATTAACGAACGAAAGTTTATAGATTTTTTGACAATCATTGGCTTGATATAAATTCGTTACTATTTTTTTCTGATATTAATTTATATCATAAATACTTAAAGAGATAATACGTATATTAATTTTTTCTTGGAAATTATTTATTAAATAATTGTCTGCTTAGTTCTTTCTGCATCCATTTGCTTTGTATTTTGTAAAATTATATCTACGATATTTTTGGAATCTAAGTTGATTTAAAATAAAATTTATCAACAGGCCTTAGTTTGATTGATATAGACCATAAATATATATTTAAAAAATTTTCAAAATGTTTATTGCTCGAATTTATAGAAATATTTAATTTCCTTGAAAATGCGTTTTTAACTATATCGATATGCAAATTTACCTATAGATTCTGAGTTTCTTTCAAACTCAAGTACAAAAATTTTCTCCATTATTATTAATACATGCATAAACACTTGTAAAATTTTTAAGCGAATATGATAATAAGCTGCAGTAATTTTGTAAAGATCTCGTTTAATAGGTCTATGGAGCGTCGACATTGAAGCTGAATTACTTTTCTTTAGTTTATAACAATAAACGTAAAGGATCGTCCGTGACATACTTCCTGAAGCCCAACACTGTTGCTGCACTTAAGTCAATAAAGTCTAGTCTTTACGGTTTGTGTCTAATAAAATAAAGAATATTAAAGTTAATAAGTTTCGTCTAATTTTCCTTTAAAATATTTTTTTGTGCTACAAAAACACCTTTGACTAAAAGATATGTATTTTTTTCAACGTTGACTCTAGGGATGGTAACGGTCGGTTATGGTCGGTTCATGGTCGGTCAACGGTCGGTCAAAGGCCTTTGACCGACCGGTTTTGCTGACCGCATTTAACAATAATAAAATTTAAAGTTCTTGATTGATAATTTTAATTTATGCTTTAAATAATACTAACATGGCATTTGCTAAAACTTACTATT